TACTTATTATATTTATTCGTTCATCTTAATAGGACGAAATGATGCTTTTTCACAGTTTTCGCATAACCTTGAAAGGTTTCTTACAATGTGGATTATTATTCTCATATCCTTAATCTACAACCATATATAACTAACATCCTCCTAAAATACATCTTAAACCTCGTCTGGTAAAATGATTTGCTTCCTCTCTTGTGTTGATGAAAGGTTTCAGATCTACTGACAAAGCCAGAGCAAACCAGATAGTATTCTGTCCTCCATACTGGGACTGAGTCACCAAACCAGCATCAATTATTCATGTTGTGATCATTAGATATGGAATATAAGCCTGGAAGAAAAGGGTTTCCTAACTGCTATGAACTAAGCCTCATGAATAAAGTCAAACATGATGAAAACATTTGATTTATTATTGATATTAGTTATCATTCAGGTTCAGATCTAATTTTATTACAAAGGAATCAGAAACAGAATAGTTTGATAGCTGAAGATGTGATGCGATGTTTGCTCAGATTCTCATCCAGAGCAGAAAGTGATAAACATCTCAGTCTGGAAAAACAGGAAGTATCTGATAGAAAGCTAAGATAGCAGCTAGTAAAACTGGATCTGGCTTCAGAGTCAATTTCTACCTTCTTCCAATCCAAGTCCATTTCTGAAAAATTCCTGTTGCTTCTTTTCTTTTTAAACCAATACACCATCACTTACATATCTGGTGTTTCTGAATTATGAACAAACATATCAGTCGCTGCGTGAGAAATACCAACAGACATAAGGTCCCAGAGCGTTTAACTCAGACTTTAACGTCACTTCTGGAGAATCTCTTCTTTAAAAGCTAAGATGCAGCAGCAGTGGCGGTTCAAAACCAGATATACCAGGGGGCCAGGAGGGGGCTAGGAGGGGGCCAGCATGTTTTCATGGGGGCACAGAAAAGCATGAAATAAAAAAAAGGGCAAGAGATTCAAATATATTAGATAGCTGCATGAAGTGAAATTTCTACTCAATTAGGTTTATTTAAAATTCTATGTATTTTAGAATACATTCATTATTTTGAAATTGTACAGATTTTTGACTTAATTTAAGTTAAAATTACCATTTTCAATCAAATCTGAATTAAAACTCAAGAAAACTGATCTTTTTTTTTATTTTTTGCTTTTTCTGTTTTTATAAAAAACATTTAGCAGATAAAAACTGGGATCCGATCTAAATACCACGGAAGCTATCACCTTGTTTTTAAATCATTAGTAAAATTCAATTCAATTCAATTCAGTTTATTTATATAGCGCCAAATTCACAACACATGTCATCTCAAGGCGCTTTACAGTTCAACCAGATCATACAGTCAAATTGATACAAAGTTTTCTATCTAAGGAAAACCAGCTGATTGCATCGACTCATTGACTCTTCAGCAATCCCTCACACTAAGCATGCTTGTAGCGACAGTGGAGAGGGAAAACTCCCTTTTAACAGGAAGAAACCTCCAGCAGAACCAGGCTCAGTGTGCGCGGCCATCTGCTGAGGCGGACTGGGGTTCAAGGAGACAGAAGCACAGACACAAAAAGCAGCTGTAAAAGGCGGCCCCATCCAGGAAACACACAGCCAGGCAGACTAGAAATGAGTCAGCTCCCATGCCAGAGGACGAAGAAAACGAAGAAAACAGAATTTGCGAAGAAAAAGATGAAATAGATCCAAAGGGTCAATCAGTAACCATGTCTGTTCTAGCACATATTATCATTGGAATTTTCTTGAGTATTATAGCCCCATTTACGCTACCCTTGAAAAACCAATCCATGCCGAGACTGGTCAGTTAATCAGGCCAAGCTTGGTTCTGACGACCGCCATCATGCTATCTCGGTTCCTCGACTCCTCGCCTCCTAGTGACGATCTGTGGTATTACTGCCAGTATTAAAGGAGGAAATCAAGCAGTTGGTGGCGGTAATGCACCAAAAGTTGTTCGCCAAACGCCATAAAACACAAGAAGAAGAAGACAAAGAAGGAGGGAATCAAGCAAATCAAAATGGAGGCGTTCGTCACATTCATAAAGTTATGCTTGATTATTATTGCTGTACTTCGGTGTTATTGTTTAAAATGCCATTATTTAAAATTTTGCGTGGAGAAGATTTCGATTTTTGTTTATAGTTGAAGAAGAAGTTGTTCATCTGTTTCTGGAGGGGCAATACCGCCAACTACTGGAATGGAGTGTGAATCGGGATGTGCAGTCAGACGGAGATGACTGGTTCTGCTCATGCGCTCTTGTTATCAGAGAACCGAGTCAGGGAAAAACCGAGCCGAGCCCACCTCTGGAACTGGTCTGCAGTTAGCACGGTCCGGTTGTGTCTAGCTCAGTTCAGTTCAGTTTGCTTTCCATTTACACACCATAAGTTATCTCAGTTACTGAGCTCGGACCGGTCTCGGCACGGTTTTTCAAGGGTAGTGTAAATGGGGTATGTGTCTTCAGCACAGGGGCCATAGCAGGGGCCAGGGCAGGGTCTACAGGGGCAATGGCCCCCATTGGAAACTGTCTAGAACCACCCATGCGCAGCAGATAGAACCATTATAAATATCAGATCACCAGAAATGTCTTCAGTGAAAAAAAGAACCTTCTTCTTCAGACAGCTGTGTCACACTGACCATATATGTTCCCTGAGCAAAAAGCTCCCAGATCACAGCCCTGATCATTGAAAGGTGATAAAAAAACACAAGCCAAATGAAAGTGGTTATAGGGTATCGTGGTTAATCAATACAATTTTCTGATAAAAAGATACTCCTTAATACATTTTTCCAAGTTGACCTCATCCCAGAGATGCTGACTTTAACTCTGACCACAAACAGCTGAATTTGTCAGCATGCTGCATTAGGAACCTATAATGTAAGACCATAAATAATGCTGTGCCTCAGTCTCTGCCCTGGTAAAACTCTGCAACCTCATTGGGAAGCATCTGCATGCAACAAGATCACATCACCCAAGTACAATTGCATTGCCTCTATTGCTACACGGCCGGGTCATGTCTCTACTCACGGATCCAGTGCCATGGATCTGCTTCAGGAGAAGGCTGCCTTGCTCCACTCTAAGCGTTGAGTAGATGCCACCGCAGTGATAAATGACTACACCCTTGAAACACAATTTTGCACAGGCATGCTGAAAGCCTCCCACAGTCTAGCATCCCATGGTGTTATCAAAAGGTCCAGGGAATTTTGCCAAGACCCTGCAAAGAACATCCACATTCTTCATTTAAGGTCATGCAACCCTTAAACTAAGTAGTCTCAATTACTAAACTATAACCAAGTTTTATCCATCAAAACTTTTTCTCACAGTTATGTCCTCTTAGGTAAAGCACTTTAGAATTAATCGGAGGGTTTGCGCTCATAAGATACAAATTCAACATCTTTAATTCAATTCAGTTTATTTCTATGGCGCCAATTCACAACACGTCATCTCAACTCACTTTACAGTTTAACCAGATCAAATTGATTAAAAGGTTTCTAAGGAAAACCAGTTGATTGCATAAATTCATCGACTCAAAGGCAATCCCTCACACTAAGCATGCTTGTAGCAACAGTGGAGAGGAAAAACTCCCTTTTAACAGGAAGAAACCTCCAGCAGAACCAGGCTCAGTGTGAGCGGCCATCTGCAGAGGCCGACTGGGGTTCAAGGAGACGGAAGCAGAGATACAAAAAGCAGCTGTAAAATGTGGCCCCGTCCAGGAAACACACAGCCAGGCAGACGAGCTCCGAGCCAGCTCCCATGTCAGAGGATGAGGAGAGCAAATCCAGCCAGTCACAGTCAGAGAAACAGGACTACACTGGAAAAACAGGCCGATCTCAAACATATACGAGGCAAAGCTACTCTGAGACTTCAGATTAATCTATGACCAATATGCTTACTGTAGTTGAATGGATGGATGGATGGATGGATGGATGGATGGATGGATGGATGGATGGATTGGATGGATGGATGGATGGATGGATGGAGCAAGTGTCTGTTCTACATTATGATGAACTGATAGTCATAAACCCAACATGTTTTAATATTTGTGCTTACAATAGAGTCCACATAAATATTCAAGGGAAAGATGCTCTAAAAAGCTATCCAATTCTGCCTGAGCACCACTGGCCTCAGAGATGTGCTCCGCTAGAGCCAGAGAAGCTGTAAGCAGGCCAAAGCCCAGGCACCATGGGAGGGCTCTGCTCCGGGCACCATGGGAGGGCTCTGCTCCGGGCACCATGGGAGGGCTCTGCTCCGGGCACTGGGCGTTCAGCCCGCAGCGGAGCCACTTACTGGTTAACTGCCAAAATGGTGAGAAAAAATAAGTGGGAATAAAGGGAGGGGGCGATTAATAAAAGGAAATCATGCTAAATCAGTTGGCCGCCATATTCAATTTGAAAAACCCTATAAAAATATATATTTTTTAAAATGATTAGCCAATGTTTTAGAGTAGCCTACACAATACGTCATTAGGGTAGAAGGTGAGGGTGCTGATTGAGTATAATAACAGACCGCACATGGACCACAGTTCAGCACAACAATGAGAGCACACACACAAACACACGTCGTGTCACACCATACTTTTGGGGACTTTCCATTGACTTCCATTCATTTCACCAAATTTCCTATGGCCTAACCAAGCCCTCACGCTAAACTTAACCTAAACTCAATTCATACCTTAGTCCTTAACCAAACCCTAACCCAAAAAGAGAACCTTTCCTCACAAGTACTTAGAAGTGCCCAAAATGTAGCATATTCCTGGGAATTTGTCCCCAGAAGGTATCAAAAACATGGCCGCACACACACACACACACACACACACAAGATACCAGCTTTATGGATTTATTGTTGAGACTGGAGTCCAGAGTTCATCCTGTTAGACCTCATGGTCTTCATTCTAGCTATAATAAATAATCACAACGAATAAAATCGAAAATGAGACTCTTTAGCCGTTTTATTTGTTCCTCCTTCTGCTGATAGAAATGAGTCCCTCCTGCATCCACTGGCATCCCCAGTGTCCTACCTGGATTACCGCAATCAGCGCACATTTCGTTGCCAGGTCGCGCGAGCACGTCTTCCAGCCGCAGCTTGTTCCCCTCCGCTTCCAGCGCCATGCTGCGTTTATCCTTCCAGGTCCAGGCTCACCGCGGTGGGCTGATGGAGCCTGTCTGAGAACATCCGCCACTGGAGGCCGACAGACGGTCAGATCACCTGTCCCCTCCGAGCAGAGCTGGAGGAGAGAAAGGAGCAGGGGGGAGAGAAGGAGCCCTGCTGATAAGCCTCGGTCTCTGATCGGCCCGTTACCTTTTCTGACTGACTGCATAATAATAGAGCCTGTAGAAAAGCAGCGCAGCCTCATCCACCTCCTCACGCCAACCTTCATCTGCCTTCATAAAGTCTTGTAGAAGTGAGACATCTAGTGGTCAAATGCAAAACTGCATTTTGTTAAAGTCAGTTTAGGTGAAGAGCTTTCTTTCTTGTTGCTGTTTTTGTCTTTAGCCCTTTCAAATAAAATTTGTTGTACAAATTAGCAATTATTATTTGCCTTGTAATCACCGTAATCCAGAATTACAATATTCATCCATTTGTAACTGCACATATGTTTATAATATTGAAAACACAACCTTGAAAAAAGTTGCAGGACATAAATAAAAGGTAGTTTTACCTTAATGCTCAGCAATTGTTAATATATATATATATATATATATATATATATATATATATATATATATATATATATATATATATATATATATATATATATATATATAATTTATTTTTTTTACAGCAGGGTGGTGTCACAGTTGCATAGAGCGCTAAGGCCGATGTAGCTAGCATGACAAGGAAAAGCAAAGAGAACTTATTAAAATCGGAGTTGAACAATAAATAATGGGTTAGGTTTAGTGGTCACTATGTGACACAGTTTGTTGCACCATTGCCTTGCAATAAGGAGGTCCTGGGTTCAATAGTCTAAGGTCTTTCTGCTTGGATATGCAAGTTCTTTCTCTGCATGTATGGGTTTCTAAATTCTGTCAAACAATTATGTTGAAATAATAGAAATAATAGCCTAATGTATAGCTCTAAACTTGAAGAGAGTTTAAAAAAAATCTCTCTATTTGGGATTCAATAACAAACACAAGGGGGATTTACCATTAGGCAATGCTAAGCAGTTGCCTAGGGCCCCAAGTTCCTCGGGGCCCCATAAAACTGTGTTTACATGTATGATTTATACAACTATTCCTTGTTTGTGCACATTAATTATGTTTTTGATAAAAAATCCTTTCGCTAGAATGCCATTCAGAAAATTATCATATAAAAGGAGCGAATTCCGCTCTCCAGAGCAAGTAGATCCGTAACCCCACCTCCTGTTCTCCTCTATCTCGTCTGCTGTTATGATTCATGCCGTCGCCTTTTTGGAAACACAGCTAAGTGAGCTTAGTGCTTGGAAACCACTTTCATTCCTTTTGAGACAGCATGAAAAGTCTCCTGAGTACAGGAATACAACCAGAAAATAGAGACAAAATGTAGAACAAATAATGTTTTTCTATTCTATTAAAATTTCTGTATCTGTATATTGGGTCTGTTTTATGTTTTCTTCTCAATTCAGAGTGCCCCATGCCTGGCTTTGCCTAGGGCCCCAAATGTCCTAAATCGGCCCCTAGGCAAACATAATGTTGGTAATTAACTGATCTGAAACAGATACAGATCTGAAATGTCAAAGCTTATTAAATGTTAGACAAACAACAAAATATCATAAATATCTGCTATTAACTGCAATTTAAGTAGTGAGCATGAACTAACTCAACTGGATCCATGTTGTTCAGTTTAAACACATGAAGAAGCTGTACCATACAGAGCACCCTTTCCACGAAAGAATTTTTAAATATAAAACCCATACTTAATAACACAACAATACATAATCTACTCTGAGTTCTGACTGGAATGTAAAAAAAAGATATGTTCCTGTTAACTTTTTATTTCTTTGTTGTGTAATCTACACACTAACTCCATATATCCTAAACTTTATATGTTGCTTGTTGTCTGTTCCCTCTTGTATTAGACCAGTCCTTCAGTGCTTTTAAATTACATAACAATAATAATAATGAATTATTTAACCTAATAGTTGATATTTAGGCTTAATAATTTTTAATGGTGCCTATTTAGGGCGATGGATACACTGGATTGTGACCTTCAGCGCAAAAAAGTAACAGTATCGATGTAAGCTCGATCAACTCGATTACTACTGTCTGCCCATTGACACAAACAATACGTCACATCCACCCGGAAGCGGGGTCACAGCTTGGAGGAGCTCTAAAGTTAAAGTGTTTAGCTCGGCTTTTTCATATATCTCTATAGATTTTTTTTGTTGTTTAACATAAAACGCAAAAATGTCGACAGCTATGAATTTCAGCACGAAGAGTTTTAAACCTCGAGCTCCGGATAAAGGCTCCTTCCCTCTGGATCATTTCGGTAGGAGAATGTTACGTCATATTTGTTTGGTTAAATAACATTTTACTGTCACTATTTCCACTAGTGCGCTTTTATTGTCACTATTCCAGACATAGTTCCCGATATCCTTTAAATCTTTTGTTCCTTTAAATATTTTATAAAAGTAGCCACAATAAAAAGCGACATAAATTAACCCCTAACCACATTTTTATAATAATTTTTATAAAAAAATAAAAAATAAATGTTTTAAAATCTTTTGGTAAGTTATCCCACAATCAGAACTGGAGACAGGGAGAGCCAGTGGTGTATAATGTGACCAATGCTGACATTTCTCTCTGTAAATAGTATTTAGAGACCATGTGTGTTTTTGTGAAGTAGAAGGTGACTATAGATGAGTAACAAAGATAAGCTGCTGGTAATAATCCTGAACAAACAGTCTCTGCAGCTGTGGGGTTATTTTCTCCACCTCAGACAGATTTCCTGGCTTGAATTAAAGCAAAAGTCCGCTCATATTCAGAATTCAAACTTCTGAAAATACTTTAAATATGAAATTATTACATATTACAACAAATGATCAGAGTTTTTAATTAAAAGTAATTTACTGGAGGCGTCCATGTTTGTCAAAGAACACTACTGCCACCTACTGGTTTGTGACGTCACGGTGCGGTATCGGCTGTTGATCAAGTCCCAGTGCTGTATCTGGTGTTTGTCACAACGCGCTATTATCCAAGTCATCTTGAAAACATTCTTCTTCCAAATGTTGGCTACATATTACGTGTCTTGTCTCCTCCCTCTCCGAGTTGGCGATCCAATGACGAAGCCGTCGGGAAAGGCGAAATAATTTTTTTTCTCATTTTTACCCGATGTTTTACAACAGCTGACTGCAATGCATGTAGGCATCGTCAGTTTAACTATAGCTGTTGTGAATTTAATGGTGAAGTCCTCTGGAAATCTTAAATAATTGTTGTAAATAAGGGTTGCTTGTAAAGCGGGAGAATGGCGCTAGGATTACCGTACCGTAACGTCACTGCCGGAAGATGTTAGAAGTGAGGTGTCACTATATTTGGGCAAAAATGGCCGCTCCTGAATTCAGTGATCACAACAAAAAATATTGTTTGATTTTTTTTACTTATTAACGGCAAATTCATTAAATCACTCTGAATGTATTTGTTCTAGGTATAGATAATGATCCATTTATTATTCCTGGTTGACCAGACTTTTCCTTTACGAGGAAGTCGAGTCCTGGATCTGTTTTGATCGGTTTTAAGTGTTTTGGAGGGCGATCACCTTTAATAAGGAATAAGAAAAATATCCAATAGCTATGATGGATGATTCTGATCAGAGCACTCTCTAGTGTAAGGATGGGTGAAGCCCAGACCATGATCCTAAAAACTCTCTGCTATCTATCTGCTCAGACTCTTTCATATAAAACTGTAACTTTATTAAACCGTATTAAAAAACAACTACTTATGTTTGAAAGCTAACTAAATTTGACAAAGAAGAACGAATGCTAATGCAACAAACTGTACAGTGTGTCCAGTGTCCTTTATTTCCACTATCAGTCACTTTATAAACTGTTTCTGAAACCATCTAGGTATTGTTTTCTGCAAAAATAGATTTTAGTGCCAAAGTGAAAACAACACCTTGCTTCACAGTAGGGGGATGTCAGTCATGTGATCACTAGTGCCTGTTTTTCCCAGATATGATGTTTGGAGTTCAGGCCATAGATCTACCTTAAGGTCTGTGGGGGTTGGCAGTGGCTGTTCTTCTATTTCTATGTGAATATGGAGGCATGCCTCCCTGACTGAGTGGTTTTTGATCGCCCGACTGATCAAGGCCCTTCTTTCCTCCATGCTGCGTTTAGTCAGAGGCCAGATTTAGAAAGGATCCTGCTCCAACTGCTGCACATCTCCAGATAAAGAGACTGCTTACTTTTACAAAACTGTTTTAAAAGGTTTTTGAACTTTTTTTTGACACAATAGTGCGGTTTTCACTCGGAAATGCACTATTTGGACAAGTTGTATTTATTTATTTGCTTAGAAATGCTTTTTTGTTCAGGAAACTCAATTGACCGCATGTTGACTCTAGTTCAAATGCTCAATGTTCAATAGCAAATGCTTTAAAAACTAAGTAACCAATATGTTTGTTTAAGAAAAAGTCCTAAATCATGTTTTCACTTTGGTACAGTGAACAATTTTGTATATATTAACAAAAGAAAGGAGACCACACCCAGAGCAGCTTCCACATTAGTCTGCAATGCAGCAAAATGTGCTGCCCTGTAACCCAGTGAAAAAATAAGAAAACAATGATAAAGATTATTCAATTAGGATTTTTCTCTGCACTATTCACAAGTATATACATCTTGGCTCCAGGGTTTCCTTGTTTCATTAGACCTGTCTTGTCCGTAGTCAGTTGTTGTGGGACTTAACTGCTTCATACCAAAAACATACTTCTAGTTTGAATGTATGGATCTATGAACTGGCTGCAAATGTTTCTTCCTTTATGTTTCGTGGCAAACCAGCTTTAAGTGTATAACTGCTATGCAGGAGGCCGGAGGAAGAATGTTAGGGTCTGGTTTAATATTGCAAGACCAAAAAAATATATATCATGAGATTATGAAATCAGTTTTTTATTGCAGTTATTACAAAACAGTTAAAAAACAATCCACTGGACTTAGTTTCCAAGTTTGAAGAGATTTAGCTTCACATCCAGGAAGCTTTTTCTATTCAAAATACTTTATTGCAGTTATTTTGCCATGCAATTTATTGTCCAGCCCTAATTACCTGGCAGGATGTTGTGTTCTGCAGATTTTCTGTAGCCACTCCTCTGGTCTTCCAAATGTTTTGCAAAGTTTAACTATTAAATATAACTAATAGCTTTGGAGAGATAAAATGTACCAGTACTCAGAACCATACTCATTGTCTTCCCCTTTATCAGGG